CCCAACACACTCTAAAACTAACCTAATACAACTTCTAAAACCCCAAACACAACAAAAAATCCAAACATAACCTCAAAAATCCCAAAGACGACAAGAAAAAAACAAACATAACCTCAAAAAAACCCAAAGGCAACCATAAACCCAATACACCCCAAGCCTAACTTAATACAACCTTTAAAAACCCAAACACAACAAAAAAACCAAACATAACCTCAAAAATCCCAAAGATGACAAGAAAAACACAAACATAACCTCAAAAAAACCCAAAGACAACAATAAACCAAACACACCCCAAATCTAACTTAATATAACCTCAAGAAACCCAAACATAACAAAAAAAAAAAACAAACATAACCTCAAAATAAACCGAAAGACGACAAATAAGCCAATACAAGCCGGAGGAAAAAGGAAAAATCGGTGAGAAATAAGCGAGAATGTCGTGCAGGATCGCGTATCGACGTTATATCAAAAAACCCAAAAAAAAAAAAAAAAAAAAAAACATAACCTCAAAATAAACCGAAAGATGACAAATAAGCCAATACAAGCCGGAGAAAAAAGGAAAAATCGGTGAGAAATAAGCGAGAATGTCGTGCAGGATCGCGTATCGACGTTATGCCCGCGCGATTACGTATCGACGGGAGTGGAACTCGGGCCTGGAATCCGGAATAAAGCAGTCAATTACGGCGTAGGCTCCCTTTTCAAGTATTCCCCACGAGGAGCACACGAAATCCCCGGTAGAAACTGAACGCGAAACGGCCGATAAAAGCGCACAATGACTGGTACGAGCACGGAAACGCAAATGTCCTCTTTCAGCGGCGGGGACGTCCTCTTTGGAGGGCAGCGGATGATGGACAGGTGAAAGAAGTGGCCAATGTGGGCTGGTCTCGGCGTCTCATGTGACACACACGTCACCGGCCTTTGTTTTTTTGTTCACTTTTGATCGAGTGCTCTGGCTCCTTTGTCCCTGTCGCTCCTCGAACCCCCGTTCCTTTTTTTCCTTCCTTCTATTTTTTTTCCTCTTCCTTTTTTTTCAACCAGTTCGTTTAGTACCAGCGAGAATTTTCTTTGGGACAACCCGCGGAAATTGAGCCAGACAGCCTAGAGAATCCGAGGGAGCCGGTTGCACGACGTTAATGGGAAGTGGGAACGAAAGGGTATCCAATTTGGGGACTGTGCATGTTCCACGGCTCTGTGGTATAGGTAAGAAATCAATTAACGAATTTGATCCAGAGATCTTCTCGTAGTGTTTGCCAATTTACCATTTGTTAGCTTATTTATGGATTTATTATTCATTTTCGTTCCTTGAGAATTTATTTTTTATTTATGTTTGACAACCTGATATTAAATTTATAAGTAGGTATTGTATTCGTGAGTAATAATAATTAACGTGTCGTAATAAAAATGATTAAAAATAAAATTCCCTGGTATTTATTTATTGATCTAATTTAATTTATTTTATATTAATAGTAGAGAACCTATTATTAGATTTGTGACCAGGTATTATATTCGTGAGTAATAGTAATTAACGTGTTGTAATAAAAATAAATGAAAATAAAAATTCCAAAACCACAGTCATTAATTTAATTCATCGGTATTTATTTATTAATCTAATTTAATTTATTTTATATTAATACCAGAGAACCTACCATTAAATTTGTATCCAAATATTGTATTCATGGGTAATAATAATTAAAGTGTCGTAACAAAAATAATTGAAAATAAAATTCCCTGGTATTTATTTATTGATCTAATTTAATTTATTTTATATTGATAGTAGAGAACCTACCATTAGATTTGTGGCCAGATATTATATTCGTGAGTAATAGTAATTAACGTGGGGTAATAAAAATAGTTAAAAATAAAAATTCCAAAACCACAGCTATTAATTTAATTCCTCGGTATTTATTTATTAATCGAAATTTAATTTATTTTATATTAATACTAGACAGTCTACCAGTAAATTTATGGCCAAATATTCTATTCATGGGTAATAATAATTAAAGTGTGGTAATAAAAAGTAATTAAATTTAAAAATCCTAAAACCAGCCATTAATTTAATTCTTCGGTATTTATTCATTAATCCAACTTAATTCTTGATATTATAGAATTCCTGCAAGGTAACTAAATTTCTAATCATAGAATCGTTTATACTAACTCAACATGGGGTAGGTCAAGATGGTTTCAAATCTAAAATACCTTTTTTCGAATTTACTTTCATCGAAATAAATTTCTACAGTTAATCCATCAGGCAAATGACTGATCATTAATTTAATTCTTCGGTATTTATTTATTAATCTAAATTCATCTATTAATCTGTTGATCAAAATTTGTAATCATCAGATCATCTATGCTAATTGGACATAAAATACTTCAAAATGATCAAATTTTCGAATATTTCGAAATTTTGGTGCCCAAAGACCAAGCTTATAACACTTAACCTTTTATATTTAAAATAATAAATAAAATTTCAAATCTAAAATATTTCTCTTAAAATTTACTTTGCGTCGAAAGAAATATCTGTAGAAAATTTTGGAAAATGACTGGTTTCCTAATTCCTGATTCCCAAAATGTACATTTACTTATAACAAAATTATTTTCATCTCAATTAAATTATTTAATTATCATTAAAGTTACGTGTTAGAATCACATTTAATTACTACAACCTGTCACTACTCATGGATTAGGAACCTGTACACCCTTTTTTCGCAATTGTCCGATCTTTGTCCACGGTCAAACAACACGTGGAAGACTTGCTCCCGTTTCGTAGAGGGTCTCTCGAAGCGATGGACCAGTTTTCCACCTGATCTGGATCACGATCCATTTTCGTTCGTCAACAGCATCTCATCCCTTCTGAGCGGAACCTGTTTGTTCGCGTGGCGAGGTCCTGCCCTCTCTGCCACTCTCGCGGATCCTGTTGGGGAACTGGTCCATCCGGATGGGGATGCTGCCGCCTCCCGGTAACAATGCCCACTGTCCACTGGCCATTGTCGACGAAGGCAAACCGCAAAATGAACCCAGTTAGCCTTTGACTCTTATTCTGAAATCGTCTCGGTCAATTTCCGCTGACAGAGGACTGGTCCAGTAGAAAGGGGATGCAACAGCATCCCTTTGTGCACAGTGGTCAGTGTCTAGTTAAGAGCAATAAACTCGATCCATAAAACGTAGAGCCGGTTAGCCTTTGACTCTCTTGTTGGGACAGCCTGACTGAAAGCACGACCCTCCTTTTGGGGTTGGACCTGGTGTCCCGTTTGTGGATAAACAGTCATTTGAAGAAGAAAATAGCGAGTTCATGACAGTCATTATTCTACTGCAGCGAGATCTTTCATTCTGATATGGGGAGTCTGGGTATTGGGAAGAGGTTATGTTTGAGGAATTTGGAAAATGGTTAATAGTGTACAAACTGTGGTAATTGTTGGATTAGGAATAGAGTGAGGTAGAGAAATAGATCTATAGAGATCGTTTATAAAATGAAAATTTGGAATGAGATTGGTTTATTTGGATATTACCCGCCAAAGGAATTTTAACCTATGATTCGTCAACTCTCTAGACTGACCTCTAGTGGTGTTACTCGTAAACTGCAGGGAAGATTGAGATAGGAGAATTCTATCTTGACGACGTGAAATGAATGATTTGTGATATAGATTTGGTCTGTATCCATATTTTATTTGTAACTTCATAATTATTTGTTGATTTAATTGGAATACAGAAGAAGATTCTTACATTAAAATGTATTTAATCTATTTGGTACAACAATGAACTAGGGATCGTTCAAGATAAATGTTTGAAAAACGATGTGAAACTAAGAACTATACAGTCTTTGAAGTGTAACTTCGTTTATGATTACAAGTCTCTCCACTTTATTTGTAATTTCCTAGTTGAATGTAGTTTTAGAATTGTTACCATTAATTATACCATAGGTAAGATATAGCATAGACCTAATACTGTACAGATTATCATAGGCAACGTTTGAGATACAATTTAGTTTCAACTATTGCCACTAGTAATGCTATGATCTTATTCTACACCACGTCGGTAATATTTAAATTGATTGAAAATCACATTAAAGGGCCAGCTCTGCCGATAAAATAGGTATCTACAAGTTCTATTGCGAATATTACAGATCTCCTGTAGGTAACAAATGGTAAAAATAAAAAAGATAGAATTCAACTGAAATTAACAAATATTACACATATAAAAATAAAAACTTAATTGCTATGACAAAAATATATTGACTTATAGTAATCGAAATTACGTAGGAGCACTACGAAAAAATCCAATACAACTTTTGTTGTCTCAAGTGTTTCCAAGCAACACTATACCGCATATCAGGTGCATACTAAGTGTGACGACGAACAAGTGCTATGGATTTCTAACGCGAAGGTGGAAAAAGTAACACGTTTTCTGTTTGGTTTTGAGATGTACGCAACCAATCCACGGATGTGCAGTAAGTTGTCCGAGCAAGACCAAGTTAAACTGCAGAAGATCAAAGAGCTGACAAGCATTTTGAAGGTTAACTAACACAAATTAAAAACCTTTTTACATCTCCATAATATATACTACTTCATCCGCAGGATACAGATAAAAATCTGACTGTTTGCGAAGAAATATTGGCAACTTACATAAGAAAACGACTAAGGGTATGTACAAAATTATTTCATCACTTTTCCAATAGGAATCATTGCATTTTTTTTATGAACTTAATGACAGCGACATTTTCCTATCACATATGACATGTAATTTCGAAAGTAAAATTGAATCACATAATTGAACGAATGCCAAATTACTTTATTATGTAAATTATACTCAATCGCTCAATGGATATTGAAATCGTGATATCTCAGTCTTAAATTCGTGATACTCAAGTGCATTTGAATTTCAAATTGGCCTAATGTTTACTCAGTGCAGAAACTTAAATGGTAAAATCGGTTGTGAGTTATATTTATAAAGCAATGGTAATATCTGAGACGTATTTCAATTCTTCGATTCGCCATTCCTGATATTTACCAGCCACCATAACCACCGTGATATCCACCGTATCCATAACCATAATATAAAGGCCAACCTGGATACCATCCGTGGGCAAAGCCATACCTAAAACGGTATTTCGTATATTTACACAATCATCTAATTAATATCTAAACCAAAATAGACATAATTTGTATTAACAACAGAATTATTATCAATAATAATTAATAAAATCTGAAACTGTTCGTTCATCTAGGTACTCTTGGCCACGTAATTAAAAATCCGAATAATTTTCAACGAGTCAAACGAGAGGACATATAATCATGGACTAACCTCAAAACCTATGTCTAAAATCTAAAATGACAGGAAATTTGTTAATGCCGTATGAAATACTCGACTTCCTGTTACAAAATCTGCAAGATTCTCTGAAGCAAGCGGTTATTTTTTCCGCAAAAGTCTGTCGTATCGGACATCTTGCGGCAATCTACCTACCAAGGCCAACCGTAACTATATCCTACGTAAATCCGCGGGTTCCAAGCGTAACTTCTTTTCATCATTTCTTTATCATCAGTCGCATCCTCAGCACTCGGTTGCGCCTTCTTATCGGCCATTACCTTCGGAGGCTCGCCGCCATTACTCATCATCTTCTCGGGGGTGCTGCTTGGTGGCATAGTGGCGCCAATCCCCAGCGCTAGGGCGGCCAAAGACAGTAACTAAAACGACAGTCGAACGTCACTAGTGCACCGGCTCGTCGTTCACTGATCGAAACGTTTATCTCGTCAATTGATCGAAAACTCGGTCGCGATAGGACTATCCTTACCAGAAGATTCATCTTAAACCTGACTCACAATCTAACTGTGCGATCCAGAAGGGTGGACAGTTCTTTTATACCTGTTGCTCTTTGGAATTCATTTCGTTACATATAACCCGTTCCTGAGAAGTAACAACTGTCTTCTAACGTCCGGACAAGTCCGTGATACGCTTTCCATCTATGGGATGCTCGCATCTCGTAACGGTAATTGCATCGATAGCAAGTGCTGATCAGAATTCATTGGCGGAAGCATGGGGCCCTAATGGAAATATAAACGTATAATTAAAATCTGGTTTTATTGTTTTTGTCACCTATTACGAACGCCTGGGTTTCATTAAATACTCGCGTAACCTATTTCCTTGTTGCAGGGGTGTATACACAGAGTGTGCATTTTATCGATTTTTATCGGTACCTCGAGGACATTGAGATTCGTTGAGCGGAAGAAAATTTTGTCAATCCTCTAGACCGCCATTTTTCCCAAATCTTGATCTATATCCTAATAACATTCTATTCTACCGATATATCGCTACATTGTAAACAACGATTTTTCATTTCCAGATGTAAGGTTGGAATAGTTGTTTTTCTCGCAATTTGATAAACAGGTAAGACCAGTCTTCGGAACTAAAATTTATCATCCGTCCTACAAACATCGATGTATGTACTACCTTCCTGATATTTCGCAGCAAATCCAACTTCCGTCGAACACGTTCAACGACCATAATCGTCTTTACTCTCGAAACCAAACTCGCATACACTTCCTTCTCGAAGTCAGGAGCAGCAGCTCAAGCTACCCAATAATCAAACGTGACACGAACCACGTCTAGACAATCATGAGATGAGTATCGCGTGCGGACTAACAATTTCACGGCAATTTCGCCGATTGTAAAACGTCGTCCGTAACGCATCCGAGCAACCCGGCCGCCATGATGGCCACCATCCGCCATTGTTCGCGAAAGAATCGAGATAATGAAGCGGACGAAGCTGGGAACGTTCCCAAAAGGTGCGCACGCAATTTCGCGGATATCGCGCGACTCGTAATTAGCTCGGGGGACGTAATTAAGCAATTAACCGACGCGTTGGTCGATCGAAGATCAGATGAACCGAGACATAGTAGCCGTTGGAGGAGGCTAGTCGACAGGAACTCGGATTACGTAAAAATCTGGACCCTCTCCAGATTGCAGTCACGTTGAAAACTCGCGTCGTTAATTTTTTCCTCTTCCTCGCCGCGACTCACCACTTAAGGAGGTTTTGTCACACCAGTCCAGGAAATCGGCGCGACACCGTTTGTTGGGACTTTCTCTGGGTGGAGAACAGGTGATATAATCGACATACTTTATGAAACTTCAACCGGCTAAACCAGACTTATTGTACGGTGACATAATCGTCATCGTTCGTGGCATAATCGTTGTCCTAGCTCAGGGATCTTCATCTCTCGACACACATAAATTAATTACTGAATTTATGCGATGCAGTGAGCAGATACCACTGGCAACTCAAAGTTTCTAACTTTTTATTTCACGATACGAGGAAAAGGGGGTCAATGCCTCTGACCAAGTGGTTTAATAATAGTACTTGTATATTTAATATATAAAACTAAGCATTGCCGACAACGCGACGTCTCTATTATTTTTCTATTTGCCAATCTGAAGGAGAGGAGATGTCTCTGATTATAAGAATAGCTAGACTAGACCCTAGGTACACATATATTAATTAGAAAAATTCAGTATCTTCATTGTATCTTTTTTCTTAGCAATTTATAGACTAGGTAATTAGATAAAGTGTATTTTAAAAATTCTTATCAATTAAAAATCGCTGTTATGGAATTAGGGGAAGAAGGAAGTGCACGAATGTTGGAAAAATTCTTGCAGAACACCAAGTTGAAGATCGTTGCCCTAATCGATCGAGGTCTTACGTGCAATAGCTCGAATTCCGTAATCATGTAGGAACTCCGGCTACCTGATCACGGATCTGTCTTATTTCTTCACGATCGATTCCATCTCAGCTTGAACGGTTTTTATGAAACAGCAATTTTGCACCATAGAGGCAGTTTCATTTTCGCCTGCTCTCTAAAATCGGTCGATTAAGCCGATCTCTATGGGTCTCCTTATTAGCCTGTTTCCTACGTTACGCAACATAGACAGAATTTCGTGGCAGTAAAATCGCCAAGGCGGAAAGCATCGGAAGAAATTGCTTCTTATCGTTTTAATCCTCGAAGAAAAGTATTCCTTCGAGTGTTCTGGGTTCTGTGCATGTGCACGAAATTCCTCGGATGGTTTCACGTAGAACTGCTGCGAAATTAGTTACGGTTGTAGCCATTTTGGGCACTGTCCTGTGGATTTATGTCCGTCTCGTTCGGAAATTTTAAGTGCGATTCATTAAACTTGATTGTTGCAGAGTTTAACGAGTTTTAAACAGGGAATCGAGAAAAATCGCGACGTTCACGGGTATCGTCAGACTTGAGTAAAATAGTAATTTTACTCGAATTTTACTGTCCCAATTTTATGTGCTCCTTAATATTGAAAATTAACAATTTTTTGTTTCCTAATGTCACTTCTTATATTTTTCTTCAATTTCGCATAATCTTCGTCGGTCCAGATTAACTTTGGATTAGGTTACCTTTTTACTAAGTAAAAAGTCAGAAAAATAGCATATATATTATAGTTTCCTTTTTGGATAAATTGTTTTTAATTAACACGTGTCTAAAAATATTCCCCATAAATTTAAATTTAATATTCCGACTGCAAATAGATAAATGGAGAGCTTTTTGTTTACCCATTTTGTTTATCCAACCTAACCTAACCTATATACACTTGTATTTTTACAACTAAAGCTTCTGAGATGATTCATCCATCCGCCATTTTGGTTTATAGAAACTCCATTTCCAGAAACGTTCTCAATTTTCAAAATAAGAAAACGAGATTCCTTGACGCTGTCATATTAGATTGTAATAGTATATTTTAGTGTCAAGTTCGTGCTTTAAAATTACACATCTTGCACTACCTAACTCATTCTCTAACCTACAATTATACCTAACCTCTATCCCGCCTGTTTCACCGAATGAAACTCAATTATATTGTAATATCACATTCTCGTCCGTTAAAAGAACTGCGTGCTATTTACTCGGGAAATCACGTATCGTAATTTCACGTGTAATTAAAACCGAAACTCGTGTTCGAATCCGTTGTACACGTTCAAAACGAATTATCCCCATCCGAGTCCGTGCAATATCGCGTACCTTTCCCGCGTTACGCCGTGCCGCTTCAGTTGTCACAAATCAACGAGCAGCTCTGTGCAATTGAGGTGAAACTCGACATTTCTTTCCGATGTTATGCAAAAATCCATCCCCGCCAGCTAACGTTTTGTTTAACGACGCTCGAGCGCGACACCGGTCGCGCAGTCCTCGCGGAATATCGAGGTACAAAAGTACTGTTCGCGGGACTTTGTGAAACTTTGAAACGATGTCACGGATCTTTGCATTCTGCATGCTCCTCGTCAACGTTTAATCGCGAGTCGCGTCGATATTCAATAACAAACAACGTCGATATTTAACAACAAAGAGCGTTGATATTTGAACGACATCAGAACGAAAAATAAAGCAGAAAAATATTCTATAGTTTCTTCAGAATTTTACATTTGAATAACAAGAATATGTGTCAAGCAACGAGATCAGCGACGGCTGAAAGAGGCCACGAGTGAAGATGCCACGGTGGCCAACATCGCAACCACCTTATCACTCTGTGCACGAAGTGTAACTTGCCAGCAGAAAGTGGTCTAGACTGCGACAATGAAGCTCAGGACATTCCACGTTCTGTGCTACCTGTGCCTGTTATACGCGTTTGTACAATCGAAGAAGATCGGCCGGGGAAACCAGCCCGTTCCGAACCCCTTAGCCCCACCTACCTCGCAAGAGCATGGGGATCTTGAGGACGCAAATAATCCACGGGACAAACGAGCATTAGGTCTGATTCTTTCAGGTTTGGCTCAGGTTTTCGGCTATACAGTGAACCCTGTCCAAATAGCCTCGTTGCCCAATCCAAGCCCCGAGTCAGACGAGGCAAGAAGCATCCAGCCGATGATGAACACCGGTCAAATGAATTCCACGAAACAAAACAGCTCGTCGACAACCATGGCACCTGGACAGCGAGAAACCATCAGGTTCACGGGTGTCGTGAACTTTGGCAATGGCACGGATGTGCTGACCCAGTTGCAACAATACGAGAGACTCTTCCATGGGAGCAACGATAGCTCTTCCACGACCACTCAGCCACCACCTCCGTCATCAACCCAGTCACCTCAGTTCGACCCGAGGACGACCTCTAACCAGCCGATACCCCCTCTCCTAGTGAAAATCCCGCTACCAACCGTGTCAGAGAGCCCCTTGCCAGCCATGCCCCAACCACCCTTGCCTGAGATCCCACCCCAAGACATTAACCTGACTTATCCTGAACCGTTCATTCCAGTTCGCATGCAGCAGCAGACGGTTTACAGGATGAACATGAGCACGGAGAAAGTGACAATGGAGAACAAGCCAATTTTCGACGGGAAGGACGTCCATTCGCCTTCTCCACCTACCATGTTCCTTCCTCAAACCGAGGAGCCACATTGGAAGCAGGAACACGAGATCAGATTGACGGAGTTGGAACGTAAGCAGGAGGAACAGGCACAGAGACTGAGGGAACAGGAGTTTTACAGGAACCGTCAGAAGGATAGTGATCATAGCGGAGAAGATGAGAGGGAGTACAGTGGTAAGGAGAAGCAGATAGGTCACGGAGGCCAAGGATCAGGGTGTAGAAAGGAACACGAGGAAGAGGACCAGTCCAGGGAGAGGTACGAGAGTGGCGAGAAGATTAGGGAATACCCTACGACTCAGAGGACGATGGAGCAAGAAAACAGTGGTGAGGATGATGGGAGGTACCAGGATTACAAGAACGACGATGTCTACAGGGAAGACGCGCCTCAGGTTAGCGAGAACTACACCAGCATACAGTACAGCGAGCCTCTGCCACTGAGCGAGGATGACGAGCAAAGAAGACCCGAGGAACTGCGCAATAGCTATGGAGAACTTCTGTACAATCAGCAACTGTTCGACGACGGGTTCGCCAACTTCTTCGACAAGCTGAAGCAGCCATTGAGCGACATCTATAGCTCGTCTAGGCCTCAGGTTTCTAAGGAAGAGACCTCTAAGGAGGAGGAAGACTCGCGTGATAACCAGAAAGATGAAGACAGAAGTGACGAGAAAAGTAGAGAAGAGGAAGACTTGCCAGCAAGAAATAGGTACGAAGAGTACAACTTAGAGGAGGAGACTGATACCAGGAGAAAGGATGGAAAAGAGCCTGTTGGAGACTCCCCTGAGCCACCGATCAAGTACTCCAATGAGGTTCCATCGAATGTAGAGAATAGGTCTGATCTCGAGGAGCACAGGTCGTCGGAGGAACTGGATTTCAACAAGTACATGCCTCTGGTCGTCCCTGTTCGATACCTGACTGCTCCTGAGGAACTGGAGAAGGCCAAGTCGAGACTTTCGATGACCGATAAGTCAAGGAAGGATAATAACGTATTGAACGCTGAGGCAACGAGCAAGCTCACGTCTAAGGAGTCAAAGCGACCAAAGAAGGAGAACCTGAAGCCTGTGATTGGTCTTCCGGAGAGACAGATGCCGAAGAAGCTTCACGAGGGTGAGCAAAAGGAGCTGCAAATATGGCCACCGCCTTTCGATTTCGTCCTGGATAGTACTATTCACGCCAACGTGGTCCCTAGTCCAGATAACGTGAACGCCAAAGTCTCTAATACTCGTCGAAAGTCGAAATCTATTGGTAAAATAAAGGAAGGAAGACACGACAGAGGTAGAGGCCCAGTTATAGATTCCACGCAAAGACCTTATAATTACCCAGAAGGCTTCAAGAATAATCTGGAATATGGAGCTGTTCCTAGGGAGCAACTGATGCTGAATGAACCTCTAAATGCTGTCAAGAATCGGACACGTTCCGAAAATGAGTCAGCAAGGTCTGATCAGAAGGATCCCAGAAAAGCAGCGAATTTTTTGGATCGTTACAAGTATACTGCCAACAATAACAATTATGGGAACCCGAGACAGAGTATAGAGATACAACACTCCTCAGAGCAACGAATCCCAAGTACGTTGCACTCGAAGAAGTTTGAGTCCCTGAAACGTAGTATAGAGAAGAGTGAACCTAATACAGGGAACAAGAAGCAGGTGAATGATAAAACTCGCATAACACAAGACGCTCAAGTTATTCGTCAGATGTCCGAGCCAACACCTTTCTCTGATCCCAGGCAGAATTATAATTTCTTTGACTTTGGTGGAAACGCTTATGGCTACGACTATGGCAGGGGAAACGAGAGATTGCCAGGAATTTTCGAAGGTGACAAAAAGATCGGGGACGAAGGAACAATTGGCTTTGCTATGCCACAACAGAACGTGTATCGCTATGACGAAAGCTTAACGAAATTCGCCAATGAACCGGAAAGCAAAGGCGTGAAAGTTGGAGATTATGCGAATGGTGCTGCTGCCGCTATGAGAATGGTGGAACAAGAACAGATCGGTTCGAATGGACCGATCACTTATGTCGATTACACTCACATCTTGTAGTGCTTCGTAATTCTACAACTATTCTGTTTTCTTACTTAGCACGTAGGATTTTGAAAAATTGAAATCCTGTTAAAATTAAATAAATTAAAAAAGAATTAAAATTAAATTAAAGTTTGGCAATATTTCGTTGAGAAATATTTTTCTGAGAACAGGATAGCTCACAAGTAGTTGAAGTTAATATTATTGAATATTAATGAAGTTATAATATTCTGCCTTGTATTAGTTTTGTTAGAGAATCTGAGAATATAATGCACTTTAATTTATTATTCTTCCTGCCTTCGATATTATTATATATTTTCTTAAAAATTAATTTAGGAATAATTTATAAAAAAAATTAGGATAAAATAAATAATTAGAAAGAAAAGGAAATTATTTTCTGATATAATATCTAATTTAAATTTATAGAAATTTAATATTAAAAATGAAACCAGGTTTCATTAAATTAATAAATCAATAGGTTTACTTAAATTTTCCTATTTTTTAAGTTATTTATGCAATGAATTATTTGATTAAATCGTATATAAACACTGACTTATTTTGTTAAGAAAACTGTTAAGAAAATGTTATAAAAAATGTTAAATGTTCAATTTTAAAAACGGCGTGTAACAAGGTGGAAATAAATATTAATTTTGTTAATATGAAATGTGATACTATTTCCTTAACATTTTCTCTATTTATAATAAATATGAAAAAAATTCGTGACGATTAATACGAATATATTGTAATTACAATAATATAACGTAATATTGCATATATGTTACAGGACAAACGAGAAGAAATGCAAAGACGTAGCGAATTGGAAAGCAAAATGACAGACATCTTGGAAAATTTGAAGACACGCCTATTGGTTGAATAATTTCAATCATTATAATGTATACTTATACGTTTCTTCGCTTACTTTTATAGAAACTATTGTACTTGTTGCATGAATACATTACTAAGCTCAGGTACTTATCATATTCTACGTTATTCATACTATATTTAAAAAGAGGCTTGATTTCTAATTAGTGTAAAATAGATTCAAGTACAAATCACTCACCAATTATTCTTTCCGTATATGTGATCTTCTTTGTTGTCTTGAGTATTAATCTATATCTACAATTAACACATAATCACGATTATGATTCACTTATCACATAATTGACACTTTATTGTTAATTTCACAACGTTATTTCACTTTATTTAATAACATTCGAATTTAAACATTCCGATGTGACGCGTATAAAACGACTTTTGATGCGCAACTAACTTGAAATTTTTGTCAGAACAACCGTTTTAATATCGAAATATCGATAAATATCGAAGTAAGTACTTAGATATCGCACCACCAGAGTGCAGTATTATTGTGATGTTGTTGTGTTAATGATATGTGGATATTTTAAAAAATTATTCATTAAAAAAATGTGATATATATAATATTTATAAAATGGGATAATTTAACATTGCAGATTATAATATTTTTTTATAAAATTTGACGATTGCAATTGTTCGAGAATGGAGGAATTTTTACAAAATATAGGTGTAGGGTTAAGATCTATTGATGATCCTTTTTTTAAAGATTCGTACAATGCTTGCAAAATTTTTCAACGAAAAGGTGTTACTGTTGAAGATGAAGAAGAATTATGTCATGAACTGTAAATAAAAATTTGCTATATATAAATATTTACCACTTTACATAACCTGTAATATAGTATACACGTATGGATTAAAAGGTACCCAATTATAATGGAATAATTTGTTGATTTCAGTATAAAAGAATTTCCATGTTACGTTACTGGTTGTAAAGCTATATTTCGAACATTAATTGATTTTGAGATGCACTATAATACCAATCATCGATATGCATGTATTGAATGTAAAAAATCTTTGCCAAGTCCGAGATTGCTAGACATTCATATTCAAGAAACACATGATAATTTCTTCAAAGTTGCATCAAAAAAGCAACCAATGGTATTTATAAAACTTACTTTACTGTATTATATATAAAAATTTAAATTAATATAAATATTTATTTTCTAGTATCAATGTTATGTTTCTGAGTGTGATTTGAAATTTTATAATTCACTTGAAAGAAGGGATCATTGCACCACTGTACATAAGTTTCCAAAGAATTTTCGATTTGATAGTACTCCACATTGCATAAAAAATCAATCAAAAGATAAAATGGACATTGATGAACCTGAGTTTGAAAAGAAGGAAGCTAAACCTAAAAAAATACAGTTAAATAAGAATCAGAAAACAAAAATGTTTACAACTGCAACAAAAACTGCTGTAATAACTCCTACTATTCATCAAAATCAGTTAACTGCTTCAAATTCTGTCACAGGAACAACTTCGTTACATTTTATTCCCAGACAAATACAAAAATCATATACAAATGCACTTACTAAAAATCAGAGTAACGAAAAGAATATACTTGAAAAAGGATGCATGATGGATCTAGCTGATTCATTGCCAAATTAATATTTGATTGACAATGCAAATATTCCATAATAAACAACATGGTTTTAAGTACCTTTTTTATTATAAATATATTTTAAATATCACAACAATCTTTGTATGTACAATAGAACTTATAAAATTCAGTATTTTATGTGCTTTCTATGTTATTCTTATTTATTTACAAATTTGTGCCTAGTAATGTTATTCAGTACACACTTAAGTCCCTAAATTTAGTTATTTCGAGTTACTCACAACATACAGTATATCTTTTGTATTAAAGTACGTACAATATTTCTTTAGAACTTTTAAACAATCCTTATACCTTAAAACTTTGGGTAAAGCTAATGTCAGACAGCCTACTTGGCACAATCATCGTTACCTTGAGAAAAAACATTATAATAAAAAGAATATTGTAAACTATAGCAACATCATTGAATGGCACAAAACTTCATATTTCCATGAAAAATGTAATTTCTAGATCTTAATACTATATTAAAGAAACATATTTTTACACAATATACATATGACATTGTTGGCAGTGTGAAGATCCTAAACACAAAAAAAAGTATTCGTACTTATATGTATAAAGGTAGAATCGTATGGCACTGTAATGAATAATAATTCTGTTTTAGACCTGAAAACCTATCAAATACCAAAAATAAAATAAAAAACATGGTAAAACACATCCTAATGTTTATAATAACAAAACAATTGTTACTTATAAAATACAATACCGATTTTTACAAATATCACGTAGTTTACTTCTTTACCAGCGACAAATATTATTTACGACATTCGCATTTTAGAAATTGAATTCATTACGAACGTTAAAAAAATATTAACAATTCAAGAATCAAATGTATACAAAATACCTTAAATTTAAGTTGAGTAAACCATACATCTAAGCTTAGCCGTTTCATTCCTAAGTGCTACAAGTTCGTATTTTAATTTCATGTTTTCTTGCTCTAAGAAAGCTGCCCTGATAGCAATTTCGTCTTCTTTCGCCCTTCGAGCGTCCCTGGATCGTTTCGCGGCTTCGTTATTTTTTCTTCTCCTTTCCCAGTAGGCCGCATCCTTCTCATCAACAGTGCTTGTTGGCAATCCAGGACTTTTTGTGACTCTTCGCATTTTCACGTTCGTTCCTTCGTTTGACTTTTTAACCGATTCCAACATTCGTTTTCGAAATTCCGAATAAGCCTCGTTGGAATTTTGATCGTACACTAATTCAGTTGTCCCTACACTAAGCGACAACGGATCTTTTGGATAAGCCTTAAACGGTCTTGGCGCCTTTTTGCTAGGGTCTGTAGACAAATTTGACAACGCAACTTCATTACAACATGCTACTGAAGACGTCGTTGACGTAGTAGAAGTTAGCGACGGTTTAATCGTCTCGCTATTTTGCGTGAGCAGTGTTGGCAATACTGTAGGGACGACTGGAATCGAAATGTTCATTGGTAAAACAGAGAAACCATTGCGTTGTCCTATGACATTTACTGGCGTATCCGTACTATTATAAATTGGTTCGTATCTATTTTTTTTCGGGGATTCTGACTCTGACGGCGGCGTTACCATAAATGTTCGACTTTCAAAAGGGCTTTTTTGTTCGGTTTCCAAAAAACGACTGGTTTGATCTTGTTTCGTCGTGCTCGCGGGTGAATTTGAACGTGAACCGGGTGAACTTGGTGTGCTTGAGCTTGAGGTGCTTTGTTTCTTGAAAGAAAGATCCAATATCGAATCTGTGCATTGCACGTTAGTATCCCGTTTCACGGAGGATGTGAAATCCAATGCTTTTACGTTCTCCATCGATGACTCGGAATAAGAATCCATTCCTCAGTTTCGTACCACCTATGACGACAGAGAAACGTGAGTGAATTAATATTTTATTTTTTCTCAAATTACTGGTAACCTGATTGGTCGTCCGGACGCTTTCAAAACAAAACAGCTAATAGTTATTCTTTAACTTTCGATTCGTTCGATTTTCGAAATATTAATCACACACTCCTCTACGTGACGATTGCGATAATTGAAATAGCTATTAAATAGAAACTCACATGTTCAAATAGACGATAATAATCGTTCGAAATCGTGGAAAGCCGACGGAAAGCATGCGTAACCATTGATGCATAATATCGATATAGAATCTAGAAAATTTATGTTAACAAAATTAAAATTCGTTTTATACGTGGCTGTTAAGAAACGCTTTAACTTTCTTCGTGCTCTAGCCAATGAATATTCGTTTAACGTGAAACCAAAATCCAATTCGTTTTCCCGGAAATATCAATAGACATTAGCGTAGCCATTAATTACGCAAGTTCGAAATTCTTTTCTGTTTATCGATCTATCGCAACTGTAAACGAATGTCTCTTACCTAATGATTAATCCAAGGTCATGCACCGGTCACTATTAATCACAGCACTGTATCGCGGTTTCGTATAATACGCGGTTCCAATAGCCCCTCGGGAGATAACCGATCAACGAAATATCAATTTTAACAAACGGTTCCAGGCTGTTTTTCGGTAAATCGTGTTCTCACAGTGAATCGCCAAAATCGTTTAGGACGAGAGGGGGTGTAGTTTCGCTTATATACTGGCCAACCCTTGCAAGACCCAAGGGTAGGAGAGTATTCCTTAGAAAATGGTGGGGGACCCGATCCTGATGACCATAGCGCCGGGGTCTGACTGGCACGCGTTCACCACTTCCTATCCCCGAGATGTTTATGTAGACGTAATCACGAATATGAGAAAATCGGTTTGCGTATTTACAATCAAGGTTATGAATATTTGGATGGCAATTTCACTGGGTATTATGATGTTACGATCTATAGTGTTTACCAATATAGGCACCTTGTAGGAGTGTGTATTTGTGTACATTTTATACAGTACTTCAAAAATGGAAAAAAATCTGTTGTTTTAAAGAGTAGAAGTATTTTGGCAAAATTATCGACAATTATTAAGATATTCTAATGAAGACCAATTAATGAATTATTTATTTATTACTTGCTTATAAAACAGAAAGGCCTTCTTTGTCGAACATATTCTTACAAAAGCCCTAATTATTGCTTAATTATTATTCAATTATTATTATCTAATTTATTTATCGTTTAGGTATCTTTTATTTATTGCTTATTTATAACTCACTGAACATACATTCTTACAAAACACTGCAATTGCACACAAAAAAAAATTATGGTCAATTATTAAAATATATTAATAAATATTGACTAATGAATTATTTATTTATTACTTACTTATAAATCAGAGAGGCCTTCTTTGTCGAACATATTTCTACAAAAGCCCTAACTATTGCCTAATTATTACCATCTGATTAATATTATATTTTTATTTATTTATTGTTTACGTATCTTTTATTTACTATTTATTGACAACTCACAAAACACTACAATTGCACACACAAAAAATTATTTTCAATTATCAAGATATTCTAATGAATATCGATTAATGAATTATTTATTTATTACTTACTTGTAAATTAGAGAAGCTTTCCTTATCGAATATATTTCTACAAACGCCCTAACTATTGCCTAATTATTATTCAATTATTATCATCTAGTTAATATTTTATTCTTATATATTTATTGTTTACCTATCTTTTACATGCTACTTATTTACAATTCGCGGAAATTTTCGATATCGATCAAACATTTCTGCAAAACACTGTTACCCTAAAGAAAAATGGATCAACGATAAAGAAATTTCAAACACGGGAATCAGAATATACATTTCGTTCAAAAAGAATGGACAGTATACATGAAGTATACAGTTGATTTGTCCTCTAACTGTGTCATCGGTACCCCATAAAATCCAAAGTTGCGTCGATATTTATAGTTGTAGGTAGCGATGAGCTAGCCACTGTACCTGTCGCAGTACTGTCACCGTCGTTGACGAAAGAAATTACAGCAGCTTCTTGACCTCGGGCAACAATCGAATCCCGCTAAATTAATCCCGGCAATCGCAGTCAGCCTCAGGATTTCGAAAAATCCAGTTACCGGCTGGCACACTAAAACCCTTCCTCTTAAATCCTGCGTAAGGACAGGGCGCACCTCTGGGCAAGCTCCTTCGTGAAAGGGTTGAACGTTTCGAGCTCTTGGTACCCCATAACCGCGACGCGGGGCGTCTCTTCGTGTAACGCTTAGCTGTACGAACGGTGTGCATAGAATCACTCTGCATAACCCTTTCGTGGGTCTTTCCTCGGCAATCTTCCAGCATTTCGCACTGACCTTTGTTTCTGTGCCCCGTGTCGCATGATTTACGACGGCCACCGCCGGAAGGAAATCGCGGAATTTGCGTAAAGTGCTCATAAATTAACCGGCGAAAGCGTTGCGGCCGAGTGAAATTTGCCGAGATTTTTAGGCCATAGGCAAATGGACAGGTCGTTTGTACGTTTGCACCTTGGACAATGATCGTTCCACGTCTGTTGAGTCTGCTTTGGTCCTGGCTCGTTAGGGTTGCACGACATATGGCGATCTCCGTAGGGTAGTACCGGAAGATGGACCCACTCTTTTCTTCCAGTCGTGCTGACTAATGGTTCAGTTTCACGACTGACTATGTAAGTTCATTAGTTAATCGTTGGAGAGGACGTTTTCGTCAGAAGCACCCATGGAGACCCTTTGTTTCGTGGGTCCTCGCCTCTCTGCGCTGAGACAGGGTACTTTGGTAGCGGTGTGGAGTCGTTGAGGATCTTTACTGGGTGGGTTTACTCTTGTCTGTGTTCTCTGATTTGCGTGTGTCTCTCGGTTTGGAGCTTTGATTATAATTATTAACGCGGTGACTGTCACGTATCTTTTATATGGTGTGCTCAGGCCACAATGAAATTTCCACCATTCTTATAGGAATTATTAATATATAGGAATATATAGGAATTATTAGGATATATAGGATATATAGGAATTATTAAGATATATTGGATATATAGGAATTATTAGGATATATAGAAATTATTAATATATAGGATATATGGGAATTATTAATATATAGGAATGTATAGGAATTATTAGGATATATAGGATATATAGGAATTATTAATATATAGGATATATAGGAATTATTAATATATAGGATATATAGGAATTATTAATATATAGGAATGTATAGGAATTATTAGGATATATAGGATATATAGGAATTATTAATATATAGGAATGTATAGGAATTATTAGGATATATAGGAATGATTAATATATTGGAATGTATAGAAATTATTAATATATAGGATATATAGGAATTATTAATATATAGGAATGTATAGGAATTATTGGTATATATAGGATATATAGGAATTATTAATATATAGGAATGTATAGGAATTATTGGCATATATAGGATATATAAGAATTATTAATATATAGGAATGTATAGGAATTATTAGGATATATAGGATATATAGGAATTATTAATATATAGGAATGTATAGGAATTATTAGGATATATAGGATATATAGGAATTATTAATATATAGGATATATAGGAATTATTAATATATAGGAATGTATAGGAATTATTAGAATATATAGGAATTATTAAATAACATAGTGTAAGGAAAAAATAGCGCACGTTTTGCAATATTTTCTATTTATTTGTTACTATTTATTAATATTTATTTCTATTTATTTATTTAGTTGTTCAAATTTTCTAAGGATAGACAAGTGCCTGTCACTGGTGACCACGTGTTGATAGAAATGCTTCTAATAATTTCGGATATATTGGAGTTAGTATTTTTATTTCATAATTACTAAGATACAATAATTTTGAATTTTTGTAATTAGCCGAATTTTTAATCTGTCGATGTAAATTTCTCAAGTTTTTTACTCAGATACACAAGGTTTCTATTTTATAAATTTTGTAACTATCACAGTTTCAGAAGAATCTGCCAGCAATTTTATTTTTATTTATTTAGTACTATAGAGTATAGTGCTTTTTAATATGCATAAATATGGACAATATCGTATATAAATGTTATTGAAAAGTGTATAATAACGAAAATAAAGCAGTCGATTTGCTGGATTTCCTTATTCTTATCTTCTTTTTGAAAATTTTGCTCATTCTTTGTTAGTTCGTTTGAGTTTTCACTGTTTCCATTTCAAAGGTACACAGATTTAAAAATTCGATTGTAAAATATAATAGTAACTCTTGAAATTACCAACTTAATCGGTGTGTCTTCCTCAAAATTTGCTTGTCCCTTGAAAACTCTTTCACCCTTGGCTGGCGAAGAATCTTGGAAAGGCTTGGGAGAAATTCGAGTGTGAGAAAAATAGGGAAAAAATGGACGAGGGTGGGCAGAGTCCAGTTATGCCGGATAGCGTAGATGTCTCATTATGTCTTCGTGCCGAGATCACGCCAAATTTAGTCCTCCGTTTCGGGGCCCCGTTAAAACGCCGTGTCGCCCCATAGAAAAGCACCCTGGCGCTCAATTCACCGCACCGCCTCCTTTCTCGTATACAAATTTTTGCTCTTTTGGCCACATAACCCACATTTCTATGGTGCAGAGCCGACCGCAACCCGTTATTTCCGATTTTTCCCGTGGCTGTCGTCCAACGACAGATGAATGGACCAGCGCATTTGCATCTGCCCTTGCTGCACCGGAACGCATACAACCTATGTAACGGTACGTGGATGCGAAATCCTAGCTGCGATTCGTCGTGGAAAACGTCTCAATTCGTCGTCATCGTTGACGTTTCGCACCGTTGTGAGTAATCAGTTTCCGTTTAACGAGAATCGAACGAAGATCGGAGTGAAATTCGAATTTTTCTGAACATAGGAATTCATAATAATCGAGTTATATCGAATCGAACGAATATCGATGTGAAATTG